ATTATTTTGGCAGGAACTCCATCCCAAAGTGAATGTGTTTCCAGTGTGAACAACACTGAATCAGTCATTTACAAGTAAAGACACTTACGTAAGAAAAGGAGTAAGTTCTGTTTCTTTAACGTGCTCTTACAACACATTTTCATTTCCTACTGCTAATCTCCAGAAATGCATTTTTATAGATAAAGGTTAGAGTCTTCCTAATTTCCAAGCCTCGATAATTCAATAACTACTGCTTATAGTTTATAATTAAAGTTATTCATTCCCTGAGGAAATTTGCATAGCTACTAATTGTTCCTGTGCCAGTGACAAACTTTTTGGCACTAGACTTGTATATATGATGTAGCTGTGAATATACAAGTAAAGGGGATTACTGATAAAAGCATAATAATTTAATGACTTGAGTTCAAATCCCAGCATTGCTACTTAATGGCTATGGGAACTTGAGCAAAATACATAACCTCTTTGAGTACTTGGTGCAATGACTGTGCTAATGATAAGTGCCTGATACATGGTGACCATACTAATGATTGCTGATAACACCAATGTAAAAAGTCTGAGAGCCTTAAACTTCACTCAAAAGGTTTACTATTAGGTAAAATGCCAAAGTGTAATTTTGAAATAATTTTACATATTCTGTAAGACAAAGCAAATTAGTAAATATTGTAGGATCCAAATGATACAAAATAAAAAGATATTAAGAAAATTCTAGAATAACATATTTAATTTAAAATACCACTCTAAATTTCTTACTAAAAATGTATTTCTAGCACAGTCCACTGAAAGCAATGATGCCCCAATAGCGATGAACACACCTAAAGCCTAAATCTTGGTTTCTAACACCATTCACCAGCAAAAGGAACCAAAGTTCCTTAGCCAATAGGCTGATTTTTAGTCCTGTGGTCTGAAAATTGTAAGTGACCCTAAGATAGCATCTTCTGACAGAAAGCAAGGAAGCATTCAAAGACTGACGGAGTCAGCGTCCAAGATCACAGAGACCAGCTTGGTGAGGCTCCTGCTAAACAAATTTGATGGATTTGTAGCACAAAAAAAATAATAATTGGTTGTAACACAGTAAATAAATAAAAATCCATGTGTCCACAGAATTGAAAAGAAAGGGAAGAAAAAAATAAAAACTTTTCTTTACAGAAGAATGCCAGCTAATAAATAGAAGGAACAAAAAAAATTCAAATATTACCATTTTGCCAACCTTGATATGAGTTAATCAAGGCAGGAATCAATGAATGCTAAAATCACTAGGTAAAGTCGATGGGAAACAAATAACCTGCCAATAATCACCCCACAAATAACTATGTAGCTGCAGAAGAAAAAAATGTACCTTTACACTAAAGAGATGGGCAATCAAACAGTGTCAGCAACAATGGAACAATCTAACAGTATTTGCCTCTAATGTGATGCAATATGAAGTACACAACTTTACTTTTAAAGTATTATTGCCCAAAAAGTTTAATCTGAATCCAATCCAGCCTCTAGATACAACTTTAAGTGTATATAGTATAGAGAAACAAGTTAAACAATATCATGAAGAAACATTCAGACCACTGCTCTGGACTCTCCAAAAAGTCAATGGTATTTGAGGAAAAAACCAAACAAACAAACAAAACACTAAAAAAGGCTAAAAATAATCAATAAATGCAATGAATGAACCTAGATTGGATCCCAATTTGGGGAAGAAAACAGCTATAAAATACATTCTTGTAGCAAGTGGTGAAATTTGAATGTGGAATGATATTAGGTTATTATTGGTTATTTATTGCTGTGTAACAAATTGCCCCAAACTTAGTGGCTTCACACAACAAACATCTATCATCTCACGGTTCCTGTGGGTCAGGAATCTGGGCATGACTTAGCTGGGTGTTTCTGACTCAAGGTTTCTCATAAGGTTACAGTCAAGATGGTGACCAGGATTACAATCATCTCAAGACTCAACTAAAGGATGATTTGCCTCCAAGCTCACTCATGTGACTACTGAGGCATCAGTTCCTGGCCACATGGGCCTTACAACAGGCTGCCTGAGTGGTCTCGCTACATGGAAGTTGGCTTCCCTCAAGAGCAATGACTCAAGAGGGATAAAAAGAGTGCATGTAAGACAGAGGCCACAGTCTTTTTATAACCCGATCTCAAAGTGACATCCCATCACTTCTGACATCTATTCACCGGAAGTAAGTCAGTTAGTACAGCCCACACACAAAGGGAGAATTAAACATCACCGCTCAAGGAGAGAAGTACAAAATACTTGTGTGGGCTTGAAAACCACCACAGATGACATCGTGGCATTATTGTTAACTTTGAGATATGATAATGGTATTGTGGTTATGTATGGTAATGTCCTTACTCTTAGGATACATGTGCTGAAATAGCCAGATACGATACATATGTCTACAACCTATTCTCAAGTGGTTCTCCAAATACATGTGTATGTGTTTGTGTGTGTGTAAAGTAATAAGACACATATATCAAAATGCTAACAACTGTTGCATCTTGGTAGATGGGTATTCACGGTAGTATTCCTTCACTCTTTCTATATATTTGAATCTTTTTCATAAGAAAATGTTGGAGGAAAGTAATTGAGTATTGCTGTGGACTGAACTGTGTCCCCTTGAAATTCTTATGTCGCAGCCCTTATGTCCAGTGCGATGATGTTTGGAGATGGGCCCTTCAAGGGGTGATTAGGTTTAGATGAGATCATGAAGGTGGTGTCTTCATGTTGGGATTGTTGCCACTGTAAGAGGAGACACCAGAAAGCTTTCTCACTCTCTGCCTTGTGACAACACAGCAAGAAGGCTGCAAGCCAGGAAGGCAGCTCCCACCAGGAACTTTGGTCTTGCACTTCCAGCCTCCAGAACTTTGAGAAGTAAATGTCCACGGCATGAGCCCCCCAGTCTATGGAATTTTGTTATAGCAGCCCACACCAAGTAAGACAAGAATGGTGAAATGATTGAAGTTACTTGATAACACTGATGAAACCTTTGCTGTTTTCACAAAGCTAATGTGTCAGAAGAAGAAATCCAGTGGTAAGAAGGGCTTTGGGGCATTTATTTTTTGTTTTTTGTTTTCTGTTGTTTATGCAGGGAATTGGGAGGGAAATGGAGATTATCTTTACTGTGGATCACTTTCACACTAACTCCCCATCTCATCTCAGCTTGGCAGTGATGTCACTATAAACATGGAAGGCCCAGGGCCGGCTGAGTGGCTCAGTTGGTTAAGAGCTCGCTCAAGAGTTTGAGCTCTGAGCAACAGCAGTTCGAGTCAGCCCGAGCTGAGCAGCCGT